GGATTATCTATTCGCAAGCTAGAGAGAGAGAGAAATCAGACGAACAGAGATGATAGGTGTTTAATTTTTTAATAGTTCTTTTTATTAAACTTCAGAACATCATAGTTGGTTTCTTTGGAATAATGATCAAGGTTGCCGTGCTCTTTTCCCTTGTGAATTCCAGGCAGAGTACGGCACTCCTTTCATTTCATTTAATAAAATAAGTAGTTTTTGAAAATCTTGACACACCGAGCGCAAAAGGTTCGCCATCACTGCAGTCGGTATATCATTATAACCGATTCTAAAATATGTGACGTCATATTAAAAAATAATAAAACCGTTGATTGAAATAATTGGAAAGATATACAACCTAATGGGCGAATTCGTGACAAGGCTGATTTGATTTCCTCTTACGTCTCAAATGCTGTACGGTGGAGACGCCAATCGTTCTGCGGTCAACGCATAAAACACTTATTTTCTCTAATTCGGCCAGCGAAGGCATATCGAAGACGGTGTTGATCTGAAACCGACAGTGTTGTCATATTAAAATTTGTATATCTGAAATATGTTTGGCGAAAATATCTTCGGATGAAAAATTCGTGTTAATTTATTCGTGTTAAACATAGAACAACAAAAATAAAAATTCTTTTAGAAGTACTGAATATGTCGTATGATCGAAAAAAGTCGTTTAGTTGGCTTGGAAATTACGATTATTGACATGTACCATAATATTTTACATATCAAATAAAATGCATTTCCAAGCCAACTGACGTCATTCATTGTTTAATCATATATTATATTAAATTGCTTAATGGTCTCCGGTAACCACTTACTCTGTCGACTAAAAGCAAAACTATGGTCCAGTATTATTTATCCGCTGCGCTGTAAAATGGCTGTAAACGATCAGCGCGCAGCGGCGCAGAACTAAACGGTAACGCCAGCTACATCTCGGACATGTTTTGTGCCACGAAATCGCCCATCATGTTGCGCATCTTCTTATTTCTTCAATGAACGGTAAAACCCTTAATAAAACCTAGAAATGGAGAAATGGGTCACTCTGTATACTGCTATATGTATTATTTTGGTTACTAGACCACCCAATCAGTTTATTGCTTAGACTTCCAGTTAGTGTTACAGGAAATAAGTAGTATGCATTTAATAATAAAAATATCTATTACTGTAAAAAAAGGTTTCAAGCCCCAACTGTAATGTTAAATCGAGTGTTAAATAGTAAAACAGCATCCATTTGTCGCCAGTATCCATGTCATAGTTGCTTAGTTTGAGAATATCGTCGCTACAACAAATACTTAGAAATTAAAGTACCTACTTGTTATAGTTTTTACAAGAGTATTTTCAAAACAATCAACTACAATGGTCAATAATCCTGTAGTAGACATAATATGTATTATGTGTATATTGCATTAGTCTCGACACTAAAAGAATTTTGGACTTCCATTGTCTTTATTTATTTTCAGAATCACTGACCGTTATCAAGTGTAAATTTTATAATTTACAAAGAGTTTACACTTGATAACTGTCAGTGATCCTTCTGACAGAAATGTGTTAATCAAAAATAAATATAGACAACGGAAGTCTTCGAAATTCTTTTAGTGTCATTACTGAATCATTGTCTACCACATTCATTGCATCAGTACCTTCTTTATGTATTAAATACTGCATACATTTCAGAAAGTGTAGCAGAACGGGCAGAACCAGTCGGAGTTCTTTTAAAGATCGACTAATGCATTTATGTTTGGATACACTCCCACGATCCGTTGCTAGAGTTCTAAACGGCGCTAATTGTAAACATAATTTATGAATTATGCGAAAGCGAAATGGATATTTTTAGTAGATGCGTTCTGTTACACCCGTGAGAAGTACATAAAGGAAATAAACATTATATTTATATACTCGAACGTGATGAAGGCCATATAAGACAAAAACAAAACCAACAAAATTAGTAACAGTACTTTTCACGTAGAATCACACAGATAAAATATGTATATTTGATAATTTTAATCAATAGTAAATTGTGTAGATAGGTAATCCATTACAATTCTGTAAGAGCCGTCACAGACGATGCCAAATTGGTTTTAAATATGCAGTTTTACGCTAGATTACGCTTTTTAAAACTTTGTCTAGTTTTTTTTTCTAAAAGAACTTCTTAAATTATTAATATTTTTAATAACTGCTTCCCAATTAGCTTCCGAAGAGCCTTAAGAATTATATTTGCTGCACTTAATGTTGGATGTTGGTCATCTGATTTTTATGTGCCTGGTCTATCTATATGTCTCTATCATGGCCCAACTTTTGCAGAGAAAAACGATATACAGGGTGCGTCTCAAAAGTGGCTCACCCCTTTAACTTTTTAATTTTTTCAGATAAAAAAATCGACATTTGGTATGTTAGTATATTATGACATAAATTATGATTGATTGACGGTATTCAATTGTTTTCGGTCACTTCCTATTTTACCGGAAATGACTACAACTTTTGATTTTTAAATGACACCCCTGGTACCTTGTTATTTGTTACTTTATTCGATAGAAAATGACACTCTGAATATAATGACATTTCATATGTCAACTTTTGACATTTTCGAATATGGTTTATTTGAAATTGCAACAAGTGAATCATAACGGCAATTTGACTCGAAATACCAATTGTGTGGTATCAAATTATTCGTAAACAAATGCTTTTTCCAAATATGCTAATGAACCACCCTCGTTCCATTTGAAGAATTTGAGATATGATTAAAAATACGATTTGGGCATCTTTTAACCGCCCAAGACAAGACACTAAAAACAGACGATCAAATCTATTTTTCCAAGGATCCTTGATTAAACATTAGTATTTTTAACACAGCCATGGCACTCTAGATTGAAATTTAAAATGCGTTAAAGTTTAAGCGAAAATGTCAAAAAGTTAAAAAATTAAAATGTTAAAAGTTAAAATAAGTTTTAAGCGAAAATGTCAAAAGTTGACATATATGTCGTTCTATTCAGAGTGTCGTTTTCTATCGAATAACGTAAAAAAATACCGAGAGTGCCATTTAAAAATCAAAAGTTGTAGTAATTTCCGGTAAAACAGGAAGTGGCCTAAAGGTATTGAACATGTCAATCAGGCCTAATTGATGTCAGATACTAACATACCAAAATCTAGTTTTGCCGGTATTGAAAATCTTTAATATCGGAAAACGGTATCACATCAGTATTTTTAGTAGGTACATTTTCTTCAGCCGGTCCTACACAATGCTTCCACCGTTGCGTTGGTCCCAACGTTATAACCAATATTTGGCACAGGTTTCGACAATATTGCAATTAACAAGTGTGTCTCCCACATGATGTGGAAAATGTTTATGTATCCAACGTGTGTTTGCCGCTTGCCCCATCGTGTGGGACCGGCTTTAGGCAACTATTAAAAAAATATTTGTAGTGTCCTTTAGACTTAATTTTTAAATAATAAAATGAGTATAATACAATATGATCGAATAAAAACGGCGTCCGGCGATGGCTATGAAATGAAGATCGCTGTCATTTTATATGTAAAATTATATGGGGAATGTCATCGATGTTCATTTCCAAGCCTTCTTCTCTCGTAATTTTTGGGAAATTTATATTTTTTTATAAAGATAAAATCGTCTGTCTCGTGCCAAAGTTCTTTGCCATTTTGTAATTTTTTATTTAAACTTGAAAAACTTTACTATAAAATTCTAAAACTAGATTTTTTAGCTAAAAAATAGTTTTATAAACTTTCCCTATTTTCAAAATCCAATAAGTAAATATAAATAAAACCAGTTATTTAATCGGTAAGTATTTCCTTCATTACCAAAACAACATTGTTGTAATAAACAACAATACTTTATTGAAAAAATAGTTTAAAGCTATAAATTGAGAGATATTTTTATGTATGTTTTTATTTATTATTTTATTACGTTACAAGAGTAACCGCAATAGAAGGTCAAATACTAGTGAAAAAAATGTTTGTACAAATGTATACGTATATCTATTAGTACAATCTCCTACAATTGTTTACATCATTCCTGATATAATTTACAGAAGTCAAAAAAAACTAAAATATTTTTTTTTGAAAATCTTTCCGAAATATTGAAATTTTAATTAATAACATTTTTGAAAGAAAATATAAAAATATGTTTTCATATACTTAGTTGTTACCGTAAATAACTGTTTATATTGTATGCTCTGAATACTTCTGAAGAAGCTGTTGTCTGTGGAGCCGTCTCAGATCTGGCTTTTGTCAAAGCCCTGAGAATTTACGATGAGTTATAACTCGTTATAACTGAAGAAAGGGAAACGCACAAGAGTTAAATAAGGTCGCGGTGATTAACTCCTCTATACATTCTACATTGTTCTGAAGAAAATATACCTATTTTTTCTTGAAGATTCCATATTTTCCGGTCAAGCTTGCTTTAAAAAGTGCTAATAAACAATTTATCCACACAAATTGCATTAGAACGGCCACATGATCATAAATATATTGTTCATGGTAGATATTGTTTAGTATATTTAGTATTTAGGGTTAGAGTTCAGAGAGTATAATTTACAGCATTTACAGTACCTACAGAGTATATTATTAAACCGTCACCCAGGACAAATTATCACTAAATAATTGTTCTAATCTGCGTTAATTAGAAATGTCATTAGCTTATTATTATGAGTTCATTAATTTTATAATTAAAGAAATCTCATCATTTTTTAACATATATTAACTTATTTTCTACATTTATTTATTATTAACCTTCACTACATAACTTTTATTAGATTTTTAATGTATGGATCCTCTTAATTCCAACTGCAAATAAATATTATGTATGTAAATATTCAAACTAACGTCACATACCGAATATATATTATTGCTTGCATAAATTGATGGGTTCAAGGCAGTTTTTTTCTGTTACGAACTAAGCTAATTATATGTGTATGTAAAAATATATTATTAATTTACTATCAATAAATTATTTATTGTCAAATAAATATTACGAAAAATGATTAGACACGTACCTAAATAGTTTCCTGGTGGACGAAACATATGAAAGTCAAACAAACAATAAACAAAAGTTTGTAAAATACACAAAGTGGATTACTAAACTTTTATAAAAAGACAAATAAACAAAAATAAACGACAAAACATAACAAAAACCGACAAGAACACAAACTCCACCGGATACCACGACGAACTAAAACATAAACAAATGACAAAATGAAGGATCTACCACAATAACTAGCACAGACGTTTCTGTATCTTTTCTTTCTTTTCAATACATACTGCCGTTTTATTTTTAGAATGCAGGGCATGTCTCAGTAAGTCTCCTAAAATAATGCCAGCCCTGAAAAGTCAATCCTAAAAAGCAAAATCTGGAACTCCGAAACCTATAAATAATATGAAAACATTAAAATACACAAGAAATTGTTTAATATTGAATTAAGTATCAAAAAGTGGGATAATTTGTTATGCAACTATCATATTTCGACGGATTTGTTAATAAAAGATTATAAAGTAATTTTTTAGTATTTCGATAAAATTAATTTCTCTAAGGTTGACGTTTGAGATTTCGACATAACCTCACTATAAAGATAAATTTAAGAAGTTTTGTTTTTGTTTATAAACTGTGTTTATAAACGTGCAATCACAAAATATAATCAGAGATCAGAGCAGATATATAATTATTAAAAAACATGGGTCGCAGATATTATTGCGAGTATTGTGATAAAACATTTATTGACGTTTTGGAAGCTAGAAAAAAGCATTTACAAAGTGCACATCATATTAAAATGAAGAATTTGCATTATGAACTTTGCAAAGGTAATTTTTTATGAAAGGAATGAATATATAAATTGTTTATGTATCTTTGTTTATTTAGAACCTGCAGTAATTTTACGAGAAGAATTATTAAAGACACCTTGTCGTAGATATTTTCAACATGGGTCATGCCAGTTCGAAAGTAGTTGTAAATACACTCATTACTCACCCGAGCAGTTATGTGAATTAAGGCAACAAGGTAAAGAAGGTAGAACAATTTTTAGTAGACATTTTTTATTTTTTTTATGTTTTAGTGGAGCAAATGGAGATTTTAAAACAGAAAAAGGAAGAAGCTCAGTTAAAAATTCCCTCTTTAGAATCATGGTTAGAAAATTATGAGAGGACACTGAACAAAGAGGATGGTACTACGATACACACTCCATGGGTTTATCCAGAAATGCTAGAGCATCGTCATGATTTACCTCCATCTCTAATAAAATTTAGACCAGAACATTTTCACGATGATGAATTTGAGGAATGGGGAAAATAATTTTAGCATAAGAGTATAAGAATACACAAATTTTCATACTATGTTTATTTTCAAATATTTTTGTTCTATGAATATAAGCATTGGTAGTAATTATTAGATAAATGAGTAAAACAAATCTGACATTAAAGTATAAAGTGAACATTTTGACGGAGGAATATCTAGTTTTACATAATGTACAAAGAAATAAATAGTACAACTAAAAATACATTTTCTTTCATTTTTCAAAGAAAGTGAAGCAACATATCTAAATACTTCATTAAAAATTTTTATGTATATTTGGTAAGGTACTCTGTTTAGTAGGAAGCAGTACTAATATTTTCACTGATGAGTTTTGTGAAGGTGCGAGATATCAACAATGTGTTTTTTTAATTGGTATTTCAAGAATGGCTCCTTAATAACAAAAATATAATTAAAGAAATTCCTTTTGATGTCTTGATATGTATTGGTGAAAATTACTATTATTTTAATATTTTATAATTATTGCCAATTAATACCTAGCACATCAAAAGTTGGAAATATATAATTTAACAGGTAATTAATGTTGATTTGGGTATATGTAATTTTTCTTCAATTTGAAGTCAGGGTATTTTTATTAATTGTAATATATAATTCTGGTTAGGCAGTAGTATTGTTGTAATAATATAAAATTTAATGGCAGTTTACCCCTTTTTTGTTAAATAAAAAATTTGATTTCTGCTGTTATCCAGTCAGAATCAATATGTTTGAAATTTTTATTTATAGTCATCTAAATCAATGAAAAATAAATAGCTATTTTTGTTTAAAGTTTTTAAAGTAAGACTTAGTTTAAAGCAAGTTTCAAGAAATATAATTCTATATAAGCTTCCCTATTCTAAAATAATTATTTTTAGAATATATTATGTTTATCAATAATTTTAATTACCATTAAAAAATTATAGTAATTTTTGTATTAGAATAATTGTGCTGACTTCAATTTAAAGTAGTGAAATTATAGTTGAGTATAATAACTATATCAAGTTAATAATAAAATACAATACAGGTGACCCAGGCTTCGGAAAAAGCTCTTTATTAAGTTTTTGATTCTTGAATTGTATTTTAATTTTTTTACCTAACTTTAGAACAAAAATATTATATACAGGGCGAGTCAAAACTAAATGTTGTGTTTTCCATTATTTTAAATGGAACATCCTGTGTTTTGTATCATAATCGAACAAGGTTTTGATTAATATTTTTGTTTTATTAAGCACTTAAGAAATTATAAGACAAAATTTCACTTTCGCTCTTTCAATAAAAGGCGTTTATCATTAATTTTAATTTAACCGTCACCGTCATACCTATCTACAACAATGTAGGGTAGGTATAGGAAGAGCTTAAATAAAACAAAAAAATTAAACAAAACTTTGTTCGGTTATGATACAAAATACAGGGTGTTTAATTTAAAATAGTGGAGAAACATACAATATTTAGTTTTGACTCGCCCTGTATATATCAAACAAGATTGCAAATTTTGGTAAACCGAATTTTGAAGAAGACACTATTATACAGTCACTTCCTGTTAAAGTTTCTTAAAATTCTTCGAATTAAAAATTTTAAGACTGCCTTAAATAAGCATTCAATTTCATTTAAAAACGGTTATATTTCAAAAACCACTCGGTATAGTATATGACATCATGTTATTTTTGAAATGGAAATTTAACGGCACTAAGTTAAAAAAATAGTAAAAATAGTATTCCATTTAAAAATATACAACTTTGGTTTAAAAATATGTTTGAATCGCCCATCTCGACCATATTATGTAAAAAATTTGAAATGTAACTCGAAACCAAAAACCTAATATAGAGTTTTTTCGGAAGCCTGGGTCACCGTGTATATTTCGTAAGTTAAAAAATTAATAATTATTGTATAATTTTATTACAATTTTATACTGAAGTTTAGAACTTATAAATAAACTTACCACTTAACGAACAACTCTTTAAAGAACTTATAACAATGCATATAGTTAGAAATATGATTTTCTTAATTAAAAATGTAGAAAAAAATATGTTTGGTTAGGATAAAATTGACACTGGCATCACCTAGCATTTTTTTTACATAAAAATGCACAAAACATCCCCCTTTAGAATTTTTTCTTTAATGGCTATAAACGGGAGTAAAAGACTAACCGTCCGAACAAACACTAGAGGCGCCACCGGTCATCAAATGGTGTAAAAATTGCAAAAATTTAATCATCTAATTTTCACACAAGCGCTCGCGCTTAACTTTTTAAATTTTAATTCAGTTTTCATTGTTTTCAAACTCCATTATTAGGTTTTGTTGTATAAAATAAATTGTATAAAATAATAAAAAAAAATTACGTATATTCAGAGATTGATAAAACATTAAAATTCACAAGTTATAATTAGTAATTAGACAATTCTTTTATATTTTATATTATTTCAAAAGCAAAAACATAATGGTATACAGCGTAATTTTGATATGCAGCTTTAACACAAAAAGTGCTGATATATTTTTCAGTTTTCGTTGTCAGCCGCGGAAGTTTCAGTGATTTTAGTGTTGTCGGATATTTTTATTTGTGAAAAAGAAATATTGCGTTTGGATTGCAAAACTAAGGGTGGCAGTTTTATTGCAATGTAAGTAAGCGTTTGTCCATTTTATATTTTACTTTTTTCATATTTACAACTAAATGTACATATATTAAATATATTAAATTTTATAATTCGTTTTATTTGAAAAATGAGAGAAGACAAACCGGTAATTGAGATACCTAACTGTTATGTAATATATTCCATTTAAATGTAATATATTACTTTAAAATTAAAAAAATGTAAATTTAAAAATATATACAGGCATTAATTGAAATTTTTAGTATGCGAACAAACCCAAGAGGCGCGTTTAATTTACTTTCATTTCTCAACATGACAGATGAAGTTCTAAAGGGGGATGTTTTATGAAAAAAATGCTTAATGTGATATTATAGACTAACTGGCGCTTATGTATCGGGTCCCTATAAAATTATAATTATAAGTCATCTCGTATGGTGTCAATCTGCACAGGATCACAAGGTAAATTATTCGTGTTTAGAACACGGGATAATGGAATAATAGAGCTTAATTCTTATTAATATTTAAACAATACAATGAAACATTTGTTTTTTTTATTCAAATTATTTTCTGTCCAACATACATTTTATTTTGAAGAATTGGTTCCCTCGCCGTCCTTGCGGTTCAGGTGGCCCCTAAATGAAGCCTGAATTTTGGCAGCCGCCTTGTTCAGATCAGGATCTGTCAAGTCTATGTCTAGTTCTTCCTAAAGAGGGATAAAAACAGTTACTAACAGAGGTATTCAAACGTGCAATGTATAGGGTTTCCATAAAGGCACAGATTAGGTATATTATATGTATATGTTGGAGGCAGATGTCGAATTTCGGCCGATGTCCAAAATAATTAGACATATGGCGATTTGTCCATACTAAACTTGCCAGGGAGTTAATCTTTTTTTGGTATAATATAACAACAAAAGATTAACACCCTCCTCATAGAACTTGAAACCAATGCAATCAAAACTCTTCCGCGTAACTTTGTGGATATAGGTAGGTATATTTAATTATAATCGCCATATGTCTAATTTTCGGCATCTGCCTCCAAATAAACACATAAAAATATTGCCCCTAATTCGTGGTACGAAAATTGTTTTTTATGACGATGAGCAAAAGAGTAAAATTTCCTGTGCGCAAAAATAAACTCGCGTTTAAACAGTGTAATATCTGGGCCGGTCAGGCGCTGTGCACAATTTTAGAGGTCATAAGTGGGCGTGTTATGTGCGCAAACTAGTAACCTAACTAGTGCGCGACTCCGAAAATTGGAACCACGAAAAACAATGCTTTTGACGATAAGTTTATAATCTTATAATCTGTAACAAAGGCTTTTGGACTTTCCGAATAAGTGAACTCAAAAATCCGGACAAATGAACTCTGAAATCCGGCCGTCGCAAAAAAGAAACTATACATTTTTTATGAACTTTTATAGGACGCAAATAATAGCCCCGGGATCAACAAAATATGAACCAAAAAACATTCACTTTCCAGGAGAATAGCGCCAAAGAATGTATTTTCGAACATACGTCGCGCGTCGGTTAAGTAGAGTTGTAGCATCGTAGAGACTGAGATATTTAACAAAGTAACTGAGGAATCAATTTAACTATAACTGTAAAATATTTTACTAAGTTAAATTGTTTTTTCGGTCAGGATTCCCGGACGTTTTTCAAAATCAGGGCCGGACTGCTTCGGACACTTGAAAAATCCGGACATGTCTGTGGAAATCCAGAGACGTATGGAAACCCTAACAATGTATTGTATGATCGTAAAAAAATGGCGTCAGCGACGGCTATGAAATGAAGATCGCTGTCATAACGAAAGAAATTTATCTCGAATATATCGAAGAGTACCTTAAAATCCTCCAGCCCTTAGTTTATGCCACTGATATATTACAGAGTGATAAAAAAATATCAATACCTTTTTAATAGTATTCGATAACATCTAAACTGTAATGGATACATATAAAGTACTATAAAATCGGTTAAATTTTATAAAAAACGTATTTTTGTGTTTGTAGTTGTTCCGAAAATTAACTGTTTTATTTTATGTGTTTTTAGTCTCATTTGTACCTACAATAAGTTAATAATGTAGGCAATATAGGGAAATCGGCAAACGGTAATACAAGAAAATTAATATTAACATTTAAACAAGGTACTTTAATTGAATTCTGGTTGCAGCTTGACTTGAGGGTAGTTAGGTAAATTATTAATATATTGATTTAAGTCCTTTTACCAACTTAACTTGCAGATCATCATGATTTAAATAAAAAATATAGACTTAATAGTCATAAAAACGACATAAATATCGCGTTATATTGATTTAAGTCTACAAAAATGACTTGACTTGAAATAAAATGATTTAAGTCAAAGACTTAAGAGTTTAATCATTTGAACTTTATGTTGAATTTGACTTAAGACTTAAATCATTTTGATTTTAGAAATGACTTAAGACTTAAGTCTTTTTAAAACTGACTTCTTGCAGCTCTGATCTTTTTCAACTACGAGGATATTGGAGCAGTTCGCGCTAATGGTCACCCGGTATATTAAAATTATCATCTGAGAAGGAAGTTTAAAATTTATCAGTATACATTTTAATTATTTTTATTTATTATTACTAATAGAAATAATATTCCTTTTTGTTTTTTTACCTCTTGTTTGGAACTGCTTTCGTCACCTTTCTTGTCACCATCCATATGTTTCCTTGTTAAATGACCTCTGAACGAAGCCTGAATTTTCGTAGCGGCGTTGCAGAGTTCTGAAAATAAAAGAATAACTCAAATAGTAAAATTCTATTGAAGTTTGACTAAAGGTTTGAGGTTATTCATTATTCTCTGGTTTCACTATAATCAGCTATAATATACCAAATTGCTGTTGTAGCAACGGCATCAATGTAACTTATAAAATGACAATCGATAATAATTTTTGACAGGCTGATGCAGCGCCTATGTACCATTTATTATAAACTGTGATTATAAATTGTTACACACAGAAACTAGCGTGGAATAGCCAATAACCAAAATTTGATGCCGAATGAATTACTTGATTTTTTTGATTACTCAATTTAAACCGGCCGCCTGTGTTAAAAGTTAAATAATTCATTTTTTACCTTGATGATTATTATACCTTAAAGAAGTAGAGTATACAACATAAGTATGGGGTATGGGTCACATTTCAAAAATGACAGCTCCGGGAAAAACAAGTTTCGCCACTGAATTCCATGTGAAAAACTCTATGGGACTCGGTTTTCACCTTTTTATGATATGTAATAAGATAACCAAGATACACCTGATATGTTATAAGATAACCAAGATACAGGAAGAGGGTCGCAAAATGCAATATTCTCAAATCCGCCCTGTATTTTAGAAACCAAGGGCTTAAACAAATCTGTGTAGCATCTTTAGTTTCATAATAAGTAGCATAGGCATGTTCGGTCTTCCGGTATACCGGCACCAGGACCGGTACTTTTGAAATATTCCGGTATCGGTATCGTCTTTTACAAGACCGGTATACCGGTTTCAGTACCGGTATCGGAAGACCGGTTTAAATCGGTCCCGAAAGACCGGTTTCAATCGATACAGAAAAATAGATTCATGATAATTTGATTAATAAACCTGTATTATGAAACTTGTATTCGATATATGTAACAACGATCAGGAACCTGCAATGTAATTTATTTTGATGTATATTTAAGGCATTGCTAGTTTGGTTTTGTCTAGTAATCTAGTCTTCTTTTTTTAGTACATCTAAAATTCAAGAACACACCTTCCTCATGGATCACTCATGTATATTATATAAGTTAAAATGTCTGTAAAACTCAGGCCAATATTCAATAGCGTCTGTCTAATAGCGTCAAACCTATTATTTAAAATATGTAAAATATCATCCTATTTCCGCTCCATTTATATCTTCAGGAACAGCAGCTCCTAGTACTTTTTCCATTTTTTATAAGTCAAGAGAAAAAGGGAATGTTGGACAAGAAATCAAGAATATGCCGGAAATGTGAACATAAACAATGAGAATCTTAAGTTAGATCAATAACGTTATAACGGTAACGGATAGATTTACGATATACTCCGAGAAATCTAATTTATCCCTCAAAATACCGTATTTATTACGTTACCGTATTTACTTAAAGTTACAGGGCACGAGAACTATCTATTTACATTTTTTAATAAGGTATCATAAGGTATATGCTCACTGGCATAACAACTAAAACAGTTATTTCCGTCTTTCCGTCCAACCGGTCTTTCGGTCCATCCGGTCTTCCGGTCCAGCCGGTATACCGGTTCAGTATCGGTCCCACCGAACTAATTGTTGGAACCGGTATACCGGTTGCAGGACCGGTACTTTATGATGCCGGATACCGGTACTGAAATCTTAGGCTTAGGACCGAACTTACCTAAAGTAGCACAGTGATGTGAAACACACGTTAGTAATAAAGCACAGGAAAATGGGACACCTTATTGTTCACTTAATAAGTATTTTGATACTGCCCATGGTTTTAATATCATTTTTGAAGTAAAAAAGGCATATAGTCCATATCAAATAAACTTTTAGTCACGTGATTAAGCTTGACCGACACAGCGCATTTTTTTAATCAAAATATTTTAGGAAACAAAAATAAATTAATTATAAATATATAAACACTTATTATGTACATAAAAAACTCATCTTCTTAACAGCACTTAAGGGACATAAAGGGCCATTACTACCGCTTTCCCGTTCAAAATATTCTAATAAAGTTGCAATGATTTTTTACGGCTATTAAGCTATCTTATACACTTCACACTAGAAGAGGTTCTAGCAAGAACAATGTTCGACTGCAAGGTCTGCTAGTAAAAAAAATCAAGCTTAAAATATTACGAGACAGTTTATTTAAACCAAAAATTCGTTATACAAAACTAAAATGTCAAAACGAATGGCAATGTCAGGAAATAAATAAATAAATGTGGCAACTTGACATTTTTTACAGCAGAGCGACCACCTCAATCCCCAGCGGGAAATTTAAATTCCAGTTAGTCAAGGAATTTAAAAATTGCTCCCTCGACTACGTAACTTAAAGTTTAATTATTGGTATCTGTATATCTATATATGGTAATTTTTAAGAAAATTGAATTTAAATATTAGTATAGCACAACTAATGCAATAATATAACGACGTGGTGAACAATTAATTTATTTAATGTTAAAAGCGTTTAGTATTATTGAAAATATATAGTCTAGCAATTAATATTAATGAAGTGAATTATGACCCAGTTCTGTATATTGCATACTGAACTTTAAAGTCAATAAATATGATATTTAATAAATTTAAATTGATTTTTGCCCGAACTGAAAATTTGTGTAATATACTCTCCATAAATATTAAACGAGAATACTTGATGCTTTATTAAATTTTTAATTTTTTTCCTAATATTGTATCGATATTAGTATAGCTTAAAGTAATATTGTAGCAGAGCTGCAAGCTCACAGAAAACTTAAGTCTTTTCTTGATTTAAATCATTTTAATGATTTAAGTCATTTGTTTTTAAGTCATTTTTCGAAAGCTGATTCAAGACTTAAAATATAAGTCTTTTTCAGAACGACTTGTGATTTAAATCTTTATTCCGAAATAGAAAAAGATTTGTCTTTTTAGAAAAGACTTAAGTAATTAAGACGATTTAAGTATTTTTATGAAATGCTTAAGTCAAATTTTTATACAGGGTTGTTCACCACATACGACACGGAGTATTGTAGCTAAACGATGAGATTTTTACAAATTGTAAGTTTTGGGTTCGTTGAAGGACTATTAGAGCTACAATTTAAAAATAGTTTTACAAGATACAAAGTGTCCCAAATAAATAAAAAATATCAAAGTTGTATTTTTTTAAATGGAACATCCTGTATATTATTACATTTTTAGTTTCTACGATTAAAATAAAGGTAAGTTTGATTAAGGTTTATTACACTTAAACCTTACCGTTTTTGAAATATTTTCAATTTTGTGAAATTGCAGTAAAAATTTTAAGGCTTCATTTCTCGAAGGGTATCAAAGTTTTTAATACTAAATATTTGCTGAAGTTTATTTATTGTTCAGTTATTGTGTTGCAATAATAAAAATAATACTACCTTATACAGAGTGTCTAAAAAATTATTTTAAATAATTATTACATTTAAACGGCAATAACTTGTTTAATTTAAATGGAAGACCCTGTATATTTTATGAGAATCAGATGCACAATTTAATTGTCTATCAAATTGTATTATACTATTTTTTACCGCTCTTTAAGTTTCCGTAGAAAATGCATTTTCTTGTAATTTAGAACTTATTTATATTTTTAAAGATGTACGAAATTTTTAAAGTGTACAGATACTAGTATTGTCGATATAATTTGTTTATTTCATTACAAAATAAAAAAAACTGTTTAAATATTTGTTAAAGAGGACCAATTAATATGATTCCAGTATTCAAACTACATTAACTGACTGTTTGCATTGATTAATAATAATTGCCTCAAATACTAAAAAACAGAGTTTTGTATGTGTATTAGACATTGCCAGTGTGGTAAAAAGCAACACCTTAAAAATGAAATTTAATTTTTTAATAAATGCTTATTTATAACAATAGAGACGTTCGTTTTCATAACTTATTATTTTATTGATTTCTGATTCAAATACACATTTATTTCGAATAATTTATTAATAAACACAATTAAGTATTTAATTAATTAGTATTTGGGCGGAAATAATGGTGGTGTATTTAATTAATGGTATACTCTTTTATAAAGATTTAAATAGTTTTCTTTTTGCATACAAATGGGCTAGTAATATTATCGTTTTTAGTTTTTAGCAAAACGATAATATATTACCAGCCTGTACATTTGTTGCTTTAAAAACAATCTAACATGTCAATATTCCATGGGTAAATTGATAAATGGGGCCTAAATTATAAGAAAATGTATTTTCTACGGAAACTTGAAGGAATAGGTAAAAAATGGTGCAATACAATTTGATAGACAATTAAATGGTGCATCTGATTATCCTAAAATATACAGGGCATTCCATTTAAATTAAAGAAGTTATTGGCGTTTAAAGCTAGAAATTATTTAAAATAATTTTTTAGATACTTTCTATGAGGTAGTATTATTTTTACACAATAACTGATCAATAAATAAACTTCAGTAAATATTTAGTATTAAAAACTTTGATACCCCTGGAGAAATGAAGCCTTAAAATTTTTACTGCAATTTCACAAAATTGAAAATATTTCAAATATTTTATTGGTTCTCTGATCTTAAATACACATTTATTTTGGTTGAATTTCTATAAATGAACACAACAGTGTGTAATTAATTAGTATTTGGGCGGAAATAATGGTGTTGTATTTAATTAATGGTATACTCTTTTATAAAGATTTAAAAGAAGTTTTTTTAGATATAGTTGCTTAGTATATTATCGTTATTGGTTTTAGCAAAATGATAATATATTACCAGCCTGTACATTTGTTACTTTTGTAATAGAATTCAATATGTCAATATTCCATGGGTAAAATGAGTTTAGTGTCTAAAATGAGAAGAAAATGTATTTTATGGAACCCTGAAGGAATAGGTAAAAAATGGTAAATATTAATTCTGAGGGACAATTGTACTGGGTGCATCTTGTCTAAATATGGTATTCAAGAATAAATAGTTTATTTATGCTTAAAGCTAGAAATTATTTAAAATAATTTTTGATATTTGAGGTAGTATTATTTTTACACAATAACTGATCAAGCCAA